CGCCCGCCCCGCACCCCCACCCCTTAGAACGGCGCAGGGTGGCTCTGCCCGGCTCAGCCAGAGTCCGGGACCCTTCGGGTCTCCCGGTTTGCCGCGGCCGGGGGTGAATCCACGGTCCCTCTCCGCCCTGGGCTTTCCCTCTGGCAGCAGCTTTCGGCAGAGGCTGTGCTGCCACGCTCCCCGCAGCCCTGGCTGTGCTCTGCCTGCCGCGTCGGCACGGCTGCAGCCGCATTGCGAGCCCCTTCTGCCCTCCCTGCATCCCCCGACAGGGGCTCACCTTAAACTCTGTGCTCTTGCCTGTTTGCTTTTTCATCCCCAGTGCCCTCCCTTGAAGGGCAAAGTCCAACGCATCCTGCACTGGGCCTGGAAGGAGCCGCCGGCCGCCCCGCTCCCGCCCGTGCTGCCCGCCCCAGACGCGGAGCTGGCTCTGCCCCCGCCGAAGGTGCTGGAGGGGATCCCGGAGCGCGAGTTCTTCGTGAAGTGGGCAGGCCTCTCCTACTGGCACTGCTCCTGGGTCAAGGAGCTGCAGGTGAGCCAGCGCATCCTTGGCGTCGGCGTTGTGCGCCTCCCCGGCCAGCGGGCTGAGCGTGGCTCCCTCCCGCCGCAGCTGGAGCTCTACCACACCGTGATGTACCGCAACTACCAACGGAAGAATGACATGGATGAGCCGCCGGCCTTCGACTACGGCTCTGGGGATGAGGACAGCCAGAGGGAGAAGCGGAAGAACAAAGACCCCCAGTATGCCAAGATGGAGGAGCGATTCTACCGCTACGGCATCAAGCCCGAGTGGATGATGATCCACCGCATCCTGAACCACAGGTGAGGAGCCGCCTGCGGCTGAAGGTGGTGCCGGGGTGCCTGAGCCCCAGGCAGTGCTGGTGCTGAGCGATGCCGTTGTGAGCCGGGGAGGGAGAGGGGAAGGACGAGCCCTGCCGCGTGCCCCGGGGCCCCCGCGAGTGCTGCGGGCGAGGCGTTGGGCGGCGGCTCTGCGCTCTCTGCGGGTTTCACCTCCGCGTGCGGCGATCCCACGGGCGGTCTGCGCGGTTCGCTGAGCCTCCGGGGCTGCCTGCTGCAGGATTCCTGCGTTGGCTGAGCTCTCCCCACCGGCGCCAGGAAGCTCTGGCAAAGCCAAAATCGCGGGCTGGGGGAATTTCAGCTGCTGGCTTGTTTCGAGGCCTCTGTCGCCTTGGAGGTTGGCTCCGAGGTGAACCAAGGCCGGAGTGAATCGATGCCTGCTTTATTTTCATTTCTGCTACGCTGTGTGTTAAAAATAGAGACAGCGGATTTTCCCAGAGGTGGATGCACAGTTGTTCTGCTCTTCCCAGATGTGTTTGGGTCCCTGTTACAGCCTCATAAATCTCTGCTGCAGCCCAGTGCGGGTCTGGCTTCCATCTCCTGTGCCCTGCGGGACAGCAGCCCCTGTCCCTGTGCATCGTTTGTTCCTCTCGGAACCACACGGCCCCTCGGCACCTGCCTCGGGGACCCGCGTGCTGCCCGTACCCGAGAGGTGCGGCCTTCCCGGTGCCCGGGGAGAGGGCTTTGAGCAGTGCCCGACGCCAACATCTGCGTTTCTTTTCTGTGGGAGAAATTTCCTGCATACGAAATGTGCTGCGCAGATGGTTCTTTTACATCGAGCAGCTAGAGATGAATTTTTGTTGAATTTCTACGTTTCAAGTGGCAACTTGAAATTTCAAGCAGCAACTGTGCTTGAAGGCTGCTTGGCAGGAAATAAATAGCACTGCCAGGCTAATTTCCGTGGAAGCTTTCCCCTGTCTGCTAAGAAGGCAAGGGTTTTTTTCCCTGTAGGCGTATAATCGGACTCGGCAGTGTGTTTATTCATTTTTCAGTGGAAGCAAAACTTAGAGCAGTGAATGCTGGAGGAGAACCAGGGTGAGTGCTGGTTCATCCAGGCCTGGGAAAACAGGCAAACGGGGTTGTTCGGTGGAATGGAAGAGCAGCCTTTACAGCTTAATGGTTTAACACACGCAGCAGGTGAACAGGTGTTTCTGCCGCAAAGTCCTGATACTTCCGTTACGTTTTTCTGCCCCAGCCTGGATGTTGTGGTCTGTGGGCAGAAGCAGAGGATGAAGCATCCAGGTTTGTGGAAGCAGGTTACGGCCAGCTGCTTCTCGGGGGTCGAGGGCCATTTCACTGACAGCTTTTCGTGCCCTGCGCTACAGCTTTGACAAGAAGGGCGACATCCATTACCTGATCAAGTGGAAAGACCTGCCGTACGACCAGTGCACCTGGGAGATCGACGAGATAGACATCCCCTACTACGAAAACCTCAAACACCTCTACTGGAACCACAGGTAGGAGCCGGGCGGAGCCGGGGCGGCCTGTGCAGGCGTTGGGGACGGCCGGGGGCTCGTCGGTGTGTCCCTCAGGAGTGTGTGGGCACCGCTCGCAGGGGCCTCTCTCCAGAGAGCAGT